AAGAAACAAACCACAGTCCCTGAACGATTATGTTCTCTTCCGCAAAACCCTTTCTGCAATGCTTAAAGAAAACCCTAAATGAAGCAACTTCAAGTCCAGATTTCCTCAGGTTTTGAATCTCTGAACTCACAAGGGCTCCGTTAAATGGAGTTATTTGCTTCTATCAGAAATACATATTTTCAGAGACAGACCCAGGACACCCTGTAATTATGACCACTGAAGTGAAGACAGTCCCAAGATAACAATCACACACCAGTAACTAATAATGGAATATAATGAGGGGCCTTGTCAAAATGGTTGATGAATCTGAAAAGATTACTCTAACTTACTTTAGAGGTGTGTCTGTGAAGGCCCATTTCTTTTCTCATTTACATCAATTTCAGTTGATGGAAGGCTACTATGAAAGACTGCTTTGACAGTAAGTGCTGTGATCCTGACATTTGAGTGTAAGTGTACAAAAGGAGTAATGACTACCCAAATAAATGTGTAACTGGGGGAAGCAAATACTGTCTGAACAATGTTCTGCCCCAGTAGCCTAAACTATAGTAACAAATAGGGGTGGGTATTGCAGAGAATTTTCATATTGCGATATATTGCGATGCGAAAGCATGTATTGCGATATGTATTGCAATATATTGCATGAAGTATTTTTAAACAAAAAACTACTTATAATCGAGTTAATTCTTGATTTATAGAGCAAAACCCCAACAAAATCACTAGGCTTGATTAAGCTTTAATAACAACTTTTAATCATGATAAAATAAAAATGTGAATAATATTTGGCACAAATGAAACAAGGACATATCCGAAGATTTCCGAGTGTTACGAAGTTTTCTCAATGCAAGTCAAAATACCGGTTTTAGATCAGCGTATGGCAATACGTATCGTTTTCATGTCTGAACCGGTAAATACCAGTAAACCGGTTATATTGCGCAGCCCTAGTAACAAATGATCTAAATGTTCCTAAGTTTAAATGTTTCTTTGTCTAAAGGGTACACCTACAGAATACCAGATACCTACTCTGTCATATAGACCCTGAAACAAATATAGTCTTAGAATATGTGGTAAGTCTAGATTAGCACAGTTTCAAGTCATGAAGAAAGTCTCTGGGCTACTTTTCATTATATTTTATGATTTTATTTTAGTAACCGTTTTTTCTGTAAAATATTGTCATTTCAGAAACTTGATGTTAGTCTATGAGATACCTATTCACCATGTTTGTTTGAAGTGTGAATATTTAAAAAACTGGACAATGAAGCCTAAAATATGAGCAAAATAGACTCTGCATGCCTCAAACGCATACTATTAAAATGATTTGTAAACATTGAAAATTGAACATCAACAGTGGAACATTACAAAAACATGATTCCATAATGAGATGGAGCAGCCTTCCAGACCTCAACAAGATCTTACACTTCAACACCCACTCAGTATTTTTCATATAACCCAAATAAATGTGTAACTGGGGAAGCAAAGACTGTCTGAACAATGTTCTGCCCCAGTAGCCTAAACTATAGTAACAAATAGGGTGGGTATTGCAGAGAATTTTCATATTGCGATATAATGCGATGCGAAGCATGTATTGCGATATGTATTGCAATATATTGCATGAAGTATTTTTAAACAAAAAACTACTTATAATCGAAGTTAATTCTTGATTTATAGAGCAAAACCCAACAAAATCACTAGGCTTGATTAAGCTTTAATAACAACTTTTAATCATGATAAAATAAAAATGTGAATAATATTTGGCACAAATGAAACAAGGACATATCCAAAGATTTCCGAGTGTTACGAAGTTTTCCGAATGCAAGTCAAAATACCGGTTTTAGATCAGCGTATGGCAATACGATCGCTTTTCATGTCTGAACCGTAAATACCAGTAAACCGGTTATATTGCGCAGCCCTAGTAACAAATGATCTAAATGTTCCTAAGTTTAAATGTTTCTTTGTCTAAAGGGTACACCTACAGAATACCAGATACCTACTCTGTCATATAGACCCTGAAACAAATATAGTCTTAGAATATGTGGTAAGTCTAGATTAGCACAGTTTCAAGTCATGAAGAAAGTCTCTGGGCTACTTTTCATTATATTTTATGATTTTATTTTAGTAACCGTTTTTTCTGTAAAATATTGTCATTTCAGAAACTTGATGTTAGTCTATGAGATACCTATTCACCATGTTTGTTTGAAGTGTGAATATTTAAAAAACTGGACAATGAAGCCTAAAATATGAGCAAAATAGACTCTGCATGCCTCAAACGTACTATTAAATGATTTGTAAACATTGAAAATTGAACATCAACAGCGGAACATTACAAAAAATCATGATTCCATAATGAGATGGAGCAGCCTTCAGACCTCAACAAGATTTACACTTCAACAAACACTCAGTATTTTTCATATAATTCATGACTAGGCACAACAGCCGAAACTCTCAGAGGCTGTGGGTGGTAAAAGAACTATGAAATACAGTCATCCCTTGCAATAACACTCTTCGCGATACTGTGGATTCGGTTAAATCGCTGTTAAATCCCCATATTTGTTTTGTTGGTTTCTTGTCACTGGCTTTATAACTGTCTGGCCCAGACTCATTATCATAAAGAAGGAATAAGAAACCCCACACTTCTCACACAAAGCATAAATCACAAATAATGACACCCCCCCAAATTATGAGTAGTAACTTGATAGAATTCTCCAATATTCTGTGCATTTCTGAGTGTACACAACAACATGGTGAACATATGTGTTAAGTATATGGCTGAGCAAAAAGCTGTCCCATTAGGCACTTTGGGAATAACAATTTCCCAAGGGTTTTCCATAAGGTACAGCTTTTCATAAACTATTCCAAGTACAAAGATTGCAAATGAAATCACATTTAATGAAAGGTATCTGAAGGGCTTAGAAAAACACTTAACCTGCCATAAACATATCACAATTATTATGATCATGTCTGCTCTATGCTATTATGTTCTTAATGGCCATAGCATAACCACAAATCACTATTGTTCAGTACTCCCAAACTGTATGAAGCAATCATTAAGTCTCCCTTAAACTCCTGCTCCACCTGCTTCTGTCTGCAGCAAACTGCGTCAATGTCAAGGAAAATTAGTATTCATAATCCTTTAAGAGACATATATGGACACATAACACATTGACAAGTTCATATGAACATCGTGACTGGCGTACAGTTATTTTATTGTGCGCTATACCAGATTTCTCATGAAATCTCACATCTGACAAATTTATATACACCAAGCAGTTTCTAGGAAATTCAGCTAAAACAAGTTATGTCAAAATACAGGGGCGGAAACAAGAAAAATCATTTTCAGTGTTTAATTGAAGTTGATTTTGTGAGAAAGATTCATGAAATAATAACTGAAGCAAAACTATAACATAAAGTTCACATAACCATATTTTTCATGTAACCTTAGTGCAGACATTTGCAAATTTAATGCAGGCTCATCAACATATCAAGAAAATAACATAAAATAATTGCATCCATGTTTATATATTGCCATTTTATCATAATACCCTACACTGAACTGCCACCATAGCTTCATTTGGAAGTGGCATCCCTCTATGGCTCAAGGGGTGGTGGGGTAGCCTAGTGGTTAAAGTGTTTGCTCATCACGCCAAAGACCCGGGTTTGATTCCCTACATGGATACAATGTGTGAAGCCCATTTCAGGATATCTAGATATTCTCTGATGCTGATATTGATCTACAGCTGCAGTAAATGTTGGTTGAAAAACCTTAAACTGAAATAAGAACATTCTAATTCATACGGTAAAGGTGTTATTTCTGTTATATATGACATGTAGCAGTATTTCACTAAAAACATGACCCGTAAATGGAAGAGGGAAAGAGGCTTAAATGCTTAGTTTTACATTATGATTTTGAATGAAGTGTTGAATATTGAGTTAAGATACCTCTAAATCAAGAAAATAAACTTAACAAACAATAATAATATTTTACCAAATAAAACATCATTGGATTATTTCTAACTGATGTCTATTCCAGACATCAACATGAAGTAAGTGTGTGCATACAAAAACAACATAATCGATGTAATGAAACTACAAACACTTCTTTCTCATTGTTGTATGTTAATGTGCAGAACAAAATGTCTACTGTACACTTTTAAACATTTGCAGCTGTGAAGGTCCGGGTTAGAATGAACCTTCAGCAACCCATGCTTGTCCTAAGAGGCAACTAACGGGATCGGGTGGTCAGGCTCGCTGACTTGGTTGACACATGTCATCGGTTCCCAATTGTGCAGATCGATGCTCATGCTGTTGATCACTGGATTCTCTAGTCCAGACTCGATTATTTACAGACCACCGCCATATAACTGGAATATTGCTGAGTGCGGTGAAAAACTAAACTCACTCACTCACTCAACCATTTACACAAGCTGATTAACGTAAATCTGTAAAGTGTCGCTGTGTCGCTGTGACCTTGAAAATTGAGTGAAGGTCACCAAAATCGACTGGGCCCTGTGCCTTCTCTCGATGAAGCTTGATGTCGAATATGAAGAAAATCCAGTGAACGGTTCTTGAGGTACATGCAGCTTAACATGCTGAAATCTTCAAAGTGTCGCCATGACCTTGAAAATTAGGTGAAGGTCACCAATTGACTGGGCCCGGCGCCTTCCCTAGATAAAGCTTGGTGTTGAATATGAAGAAAATCCAGTGAAAGGTTCTTGAGATATCTCGCTGACAAGGGTAAAACGTTTAAGTCCCCTTGTGACCTGACTGGGACCTTTCTTTTACTGTGATGAACCTAGGTATCAAATATGAAAAGAATCCAGTCAACGGTTCTTAAGATATTCCAATTCGTACGTGTACGTACGTACGGATGGACGGACGGACGGAGCCTGATACTATATCCCCCGCTTCGCTCTAAACGTGCGGCGGGGGGTAATAAAAATACATACAAAATAACAAATAAAATCCAATGGAGTTCAGAACACAGACTAATTTCAGACCTAAAGAAGACTGGTCGAATAATTTTAGACCTGAGTTGAACTTCTTTATTTTATATATTCTATAGGGTTTGCTAAGAAGACTAGTGTCATTAGACTGCACTGACACGTAGAAACAGAAATGTCCTACTCCATGTCCTATTGGCAGTTGTCAACAGTGAGATATAACTTCGACAGAAAGACAAAGTTGTAAATAAATAATCTTATGATTTCTTAGAAAGTGACTGGGTGATAGACTTAACTATCTGAATATTTGTATACTTTCAGTGAGAAATAAATGGTTTGGCACTGAAACACATTTTAACTCGTTAACCTTGCAACATCACTGTAACCATGGTAACTGCACAAAATTAAGAAATATCTTAAGGACAATATGACCACAGAATGTCAAAATATCTTTCAAAGACATGCCCTAAATCTGTCAATCCTTTCTATTTACAGGAAGTTCTTCAGCAGCTTGCACTTTTGACAGTCATGTCAGTTTCATACAACAACTGTCAATCAATGTAACTGTGAGTCTGTATTTGATCAGCCTTGCAGAAATCTAATAAAACAAGATTTACCACATATATCCATAAAATATGTCTATAAAATATTTTGTAAAAATGGAGTCGGGACACACAGACATAGCATGAGACCAGTCTATATGTCATCCATTGTCAGTCATTCCAATGCATACACTGAAACAACCACAAGGCTCTGTACTGGGTAGACAGTGTTTCTCTAAATAAATGGATCAGTCAATAGTTATCGACTACTAGCATGAATATGGAAAAACAGTTGGTGCCATTATGCAACGTAAGCATTGTCTCCCAAACATATGAATTGCTGCGATTATCAATATACAAGAAAAGTTATTTAACACAATGACATATTAATGGATGCATTTGGTACATAAGAGTCAAGGTGCTTACATAGATGCTTTGTGTTATCCAAGATTTTGCCAGACCGCCTCCATGGTGTAGTGGTTAGAGAGTCCGCCCGGAGAGCGGAAGGTCGCGGGTTCGATTCCCGACTGCGTCATACCAAAAGATGTTAAAATATGGTACTTGTTGGTCCCTGCCTGGCGCTCGGCATTAATGGGTACAAGAAGGACTGGTCGGCTCGGAGTCAGTATAATGTGTCTGAGTGGGGTATTCATGCTTCACTGCGGCATGGTATCTCAGTGGGCTAGCACTATAAAACCAGCTGGGCTAGTACAAGCAGACACACTTACACACACATGCACGTCGGTCATATGAGCGAAATAATATCAAGCACGACGTTAAACCCAATTTCACCTCACTTCCCTAAGGTTCTGCCCACGTGAACACCTGATTCAAGAGGAGATACACAGGAACTATAAATCCATGATACACCTTGGTCCTTTTTTACCATGGTAATCCATGGTATACCATGGTCTCTTTTTACCATGGTTGACCATGGTAGACCATGGTCTTATTTTACCATGATAACTGTGGTGCCATTTACCAGATGGGATAAGCCATGGTACACCATGGTGTGTATACCATGGTGTGTATACCATGGTCTTTTACATGCTCATTTCAGCTGGGACTTTTACTTCAAGACAACTGTAAGTTTGACACATCAAAGTAGGCACAACAATGTTTGACCATAAATACACATTCTAAGATGCTTTGCTAAAAGATCAAAGGCGCCGACAGTACTTTATCAGGCGATAAAGTCACACTATATTGATGTGACTACACCATTCTTGTCTGCCCCCTCGTTATCAAACGTACCGGTACCCTTGGTAGCCGATGTCACGATGCATGCCAGTTGTCCTCGCCTCGTACAGTTCCTATTAGTAAAGTATTCCGTAGCACCCTGTTTCTTGGTTTGCAGTTGTGTTGCTCGGCTAACATCACTGCTGGAAACAATTACCGTTATATTTTTCGACGGATATAATGTCTTAGTTCGACTCACAATTTAACAGTGACATGGCAACGTACGCAATGTTTACATTCCATCAATGCATCCGTGGAATGTCGCGTGACTAGGTAGCTTCATCTGGATACTGATTTAAACTAACGTTGGTAGTAGAAATGCAACGTTCATACTGCCCTGCATGGTTTATGTTAATCACAGATGTAATCAAAATAATTTAGAGACGATATTTAATCTGAACGTAAACTGTCATCAAATTGTTTATCCTTTGTTTTTCTGGTAATGTACGTTTTAACGTAGGAGGGTAGGAGGGTACACGTCAACAGAACAGTGCATCAGTTAGCCGCGAGCAAGGATTATAGTGTTAATTTAGATCACCAAGACCATTGTTTTTCTGTTTGTTTTCTGCCTTAAATTAATCTCAGAAAAGTGTATTAAATTTGGCATCTCAGAAAATGTATACAGTTCACTAAGCACTATTACAGAAAAGTATAATGCACACATTACACACACACACCCATGATGAAACAGATCAAAGCGTAGCACTATTACAACGTTAAAGCATGAGGATGCAATCATCCGACGTGTCAGTGTCACACTAGGTTCTATACAGGAAGTGAGTGAGTGAGTGAGTGTGTTTCAGTTTAACAGTGCTTTGAACTATCATCCTGATTCCGCTTCTGTCTGTTCTATATAGTTTCATTTACATAATTGCACTTGTGTCAAGCAGGCCATAGATAACTGACTTGATAAGTAATCATGACTCAACCAAAATATCATACTGAAAGAATAGAAAAAAGTTTATAAAAAATTGAAAGCATTAAGTCAATCGTATCTTCATCCCTTTCATCAGCAACTAATGTGATGTGGTATGATCTATGATTACAGGAGACAGTCTCAAACAGACATTTCACAATGCTCATTCTTGTCAACAACATATATATAGTTACCTACTTTACATACAGTTGCCATTTGACAATAAAACCCATTCAGGATGGAAGCACAGGCTACAACGTACAGAGGCATTGATGGAAAGTGTATAACAGAAATCACATAGCCATGTCGTGAGTCATGTTTCACTTTTTATAATAAACAGTTTTTAATGTCAGTCAGGAGATCACAACCCTTGAAATATGTTTATGACTTGAGTGTATGAAAACTAGCTGAGGTGTCAAATGTCCCCTTACTGTCACACATCATGCTGTGAAGATATCAATGGCTGAGAGGAGAACCCCTGGAGATGTAGAAACAAAACAAGATGGGTATTTTAAACATGAAGCGTTGGTACACTATCCCTGGTTTTCAAAGTGTTTGATGGTTTGGCACTAACATCTCTGACTCTGCAGCATTCCTGCTTGATGGGTGTGTGTCTTTATTGTTCAACCCAGCAACAGTGGTCGTGGCCTGTAGTGAGTGAGTGAGTGAGTGAGTGAGTATGGTTTTACGCCGCTTTAAGCAATATTCCAGCAATATCACGGCGGGTGACACCGGAAATGAGCTTCACACATTGTACCCATGTGGGGAATCGAACCCGGGTAATCGGCGTGACGAGCGAACGCTTTAACCACTAGGCTACTTCATCGCCCCCGTCGTGGCCTGTAAGTACTAATATTTGAGTCTGGACCAGATAATCCAGTGATTGAAGAAAGAGCATAGATGACACCCTGTCAACCAAGTCACTGAGTCAGATGCATGATCCATTTAGTTGCTTCTTTATATGACAACATAGGCTGATGTTACCAATTGTAATCCATGATCACACTAATGGCCAGACAATCCAGTGATTGAAGTAATGAGCAATGATGACACACTATCAAACCTGTCAGAGACTGATGCATGATCCGATTAGTTGCTTCTTTAAGACAGTATGGGTTGTAGTTACCAATTCTAATACACAATAACACCAAGGGCCAGAGTGAGTGAGTGAGTGAGAGAGAGAGAGAGGGTGAGTGAGTGAGCGAGCAAGAGAGAGAGTGAGAGTGAGTGAGTGAGTGAGTGAGAGAGATTGAGTGAGTTAGTGAGAGAGAGAGTGAGAGAGAGTTTAGAGTTGTTAGCCGAGAGAGAGCAATATTCTAGCAATATCATGGCGGGGTTTAAATATCACGGCGGGGACACCAGAAAGGGCTTCACACACCAAGGGCCAGACAATCCAGTGATTGATATAATGACCAATGATGACCCCCTATCAAACAAGTCACTGAGTCTGACCCTATGATCCTGTCAACGCAGCGTGGTGTTACTTTAAATATTTGAGCTGCTTCTTCAATCCATTCAGACATATGACATTGACAGCATAGATTGCTAGCTACCAATTGTACAGGGCCACAAAATCTAGTTCTTGATATTGTGAACCAAGTTCCAAGTCATTGGGTGAGTGAGTGAGTGAGTTTAGTTTTACGCCGCACTCAGCAATATTCCATCTGTATGGCGGCGGTCTGTAAATAATCAAGTCTGGACCAGACAATCCAGTGATCATCAGCATGAGCATCGATCTGCCAATTGGGAACCGATGACATATGGCAACCAAGTCAGCGAGCCTGACCACCTGATCTGTTAGTCGCCTCTTATGACAAGCATGGTTACTGATGATCAATATTCTAACCCGGACCTTCACAGGTTTCATACACATTGTAAAAGGCGTCAATTGTAAATGGGATCATCCGCCATGTGACATCATGCTCAAGATGACATTTTCCCAACATTATCATTGCATTGTTTGTGCTTGTGGTTCGTGGTCTTGTCCCCTTGACAATCATAGCAATCTCGGTTATTACCCATTGGTAGACTTCAACAAGGGTTCAGTGATCTCTATAAAACATCTCTATACAACATCAAACATCTCCATTTTGCATTGTGTTTGTATTCATGTCACCATAGATGTGAAATCGTTCATAGATCCTGCATGAATGTGATCTCTGTGTCCCTCCCATCCATACACCCCCACCCCCACTTCACACTGTGTACATGACAGTCACACTGGTAGCAGGTAAAACATATCACCTTGCATCAGTCATATCATATTTTCCATGCTAATTGTAGTGAGTCATGCTTCAACCATGCTTTACCAGACTGAATACCAGACTGTACCCCAGACACTAGAAAATATTTATACATATTTAATTAAATATTTAAATTAAACTGTATCTTATTTCTGAAACTCAATGTTAATCTAGCCCAGTACTCATAATTCTTTTCAACTTGCACATTATCATTTAATTAGACTTACCACGGCACTATGGACACAGATATTCAGAACTCCTACCAAACATGACTATTACCTGGTAAAAATAACAAATATATTCTGTCAATGACATCTGTTTTTCTTTTCAGGGCAAGTGTAATATTTAAATCTACAACATGAATCACAGAGTCAAATATCCATTTTACATAAAAGATGGCATTTACACTATCATTTTGACTACGGTAATATATGGTATGTTCTCTGACTATACCACTCAAACAACAGATGCTACCCAATAAAATCAGTTCATTAAATCATTATAGTCACTAACTGGTTTGATTTTTACGATGGACTTTTGTTCTTCTCCTGGCCTAAAGTAGTTTTCTTGAAGCAGACTAAACAGCCTACACTGATCTCACTTTAAAAAAACCCTCACAAACATGAAAAAATATTGATTTCGTGAGTGTAAAAAAACTTAAGTTTATTTTTACCTGCTCTTTTCATATTACTATCATGTCAAAACAATTTTGGAACTTAGGATTTAGTAAAAACTTTTGTAACACATATTATGTTCGAGATTACACTTTTTCAGTAAAGCACAGATTCTAGTACTTTTTGTTGGGTTGAGTCCCATCTTTTACATTTGACCATTTTTTAAATGGCATTGTGTATTCATAGTAAAAACTTTGGTTAATTAAAACTACAATACTAAAAGGGCATCTTAATGATTTTTAGCAGCTTATATAATCAAAGTGCATTAAAGTCAGATATACAAGACAGTCCCAATCTTGGTGGTGCGACCAGCTAAAGCACAACAGTGAAGATCATGCATTGCTTTTATGCTCAGGTCGTCTTTGTATATTTCAGTGTGAAATGTGACTGGCAGTGAATGGAGCTGTACGGAGGCGAAGTGACGCACCATAGAGCCCCCTGGTCTGACAAGACGGGTGTATGAATAATAACTTACTCTGCGGTCGTTTACATGAGGTCCACCCTAAATAGATAGGCCAGCTCGGGATACTTGTGGAGGTGGTGTTTGAAAGTGTTGTCATCTCATGCTGACAAGAGTGTACAAGCTAGACAGAGGAAGGAAACTGTACAGGGGATTCAACTGTACCTCCATACAGGTGTGACCTCGTTATAAACTCTCAAGCATCAGTGAACAGAGCCATTTTATACACAGCAGAGATTCTGATAAATGGGATATGATTTTCACCTGAAACACCCCATCATCGTGGTATTGGTGTATATTGTGTGAACAAGTGTTGAATACAGAACTATTAACAGACTCTCTGTAGTGTGAAGGATACAATTCTGATTGGTGATTCCGCCTGACACCCAAATACAGGTACAAAACTATATAAATATATTGGATCCTTGGTGAGAGTGTTGTGAAGGATATTGCAACTGTAAGTTATATCATATATACAACAGTGCCGCCAGACTCAAGGGAATATTGACATTGTTCTACAAGCTAGAAGGTTCTTGGTTAAGAGATAACCAGACTGTCTGTGTTGTATAACATTTCACTGGAAGTTATATAACACAGTTATATACCCCAGCCCTGACTGACACAAGGGAATATGGTCGCTTTTGACATACTAGAAAGGTTTTAGTTCAGCAATATCAGGATGAGAACTCTCCTTTATTTGTGTGGACATATATCCTCCCACACTACTGACAAACTGTGAGACTTAGTCTCCACTTAACTCACACCAGACAGTGTGCCGTGATTATGATGTTTAAACATTGGGCTGTGGAGTGTCAGCATACATGATCACATTGACAGATTTCCTGATACATAAAAGTTACAGAAATATACCTATTGAAAGTCGCAAGAGCTCCAGTTCCCTTTCAATAGGTGCAATGGTGTAAGCCTTTATGACATGGACCAGCTATAAAGTCTATTTGAACAGTGGATCGTGAGGTGGCAACAATAAGTGCACAAGAACCCAGCCCTTATTAATCTGTAAGTTGTTAGATAACTTTCTAAAGACGTGGTTCAGATCCTTGAGATATTCCGCAGCAAGTGAGTCACATCTAGGAGCATGTACTTTTATGCTTTAACTGGATACAGATTTGTCAGATAGGTTGTCAGGATACAGGGTTGTCGGATAATTTGACACAAATTGAAGATATTGTTCCACTAGGATGTGATGTGCCAGTCATTCATAATTTCCCGTTCAATATTTTCAGCAACTGGAACCTTGCTGGAACTGCAGCACTGAATCCACTAAAGATAGCAGACACAATATTGTTGACAGTGGGACGATTGGAAAGAGTCCAGCATCATGAACGACCTCTCCACCAAAAAGCGACATGCCTACACCAATGGCTATGCTAACAACCTTCATCACACAATCTCCCACAAACCAGTGATTGGCACCAAGTCTATGGGCTTCACCCATAAGAAACAGGGACAGAAATACGCCACCACAAAGTCTCTCCCTCCCAAAAGTCGTCAGTCACCATGGATGTCAGTGAGCCGAAATGATCGGTCGGCCAGCAGTTCTACATATCGAGGACCTCGTGGGAGATTGGTGCATTCCTCTACAACCTTCCATAAACATCTTAAAGAAAAGAAGGAGAAGTCAATATCTTACTTTGATATTGAACTGGAAAAATCTGAGAAATACATCCTTCGACCCGGAGAAGAACTTAATGGATCGATTCACATGGAGATAACCAAAAATATTGAGATCCGTTTTCTAGAACTGGTAGTGGTAGGTCAGGGTTTCGTGACAATAAGGAAAAATAAACAAGGTGTTCAAAAAACACAGAAGGAAACATATCTGTGTAAAAGATCATATGTGATTGGGACGTCTGATGCAAGATGGACATCCGTGTTGACCCCTGGGCACTATGTATCTACTTTCAAGGTCAAACTGCCAAAGGACCTCCCCAGTTCTCTCCACTTCCGGGACACAGCAAGTGGACTTTCCGCCGACATTGGCTACTACTTAAAAGCAAGACTCTGTGATGACATAGGCTCTTCCTCCACTAGAAGTATAGTATCTGTCAACAATGCTGTCAAAGTACTCTTGTCCAAGAGACAGATATTTACTGTTCAAAGAGCCTTTGATGTTAACTTGATCCCAAATGCTATGACCCCTGTAGTCCACGATGAAGAAGTGATTTTATCATGTGGACCCAACAGTGTAGCAAACTTTACACTATCTCTAGACCGAGCGGTGTTTCTTGCTGGTGATGACGTTCGACTTCAGATTTCATCCCAGATTCCACCATCACAGAAGATAAAAGACATAACTTGCAAACTACGGCAGCATGTAAATCTGAAGGAGACTGGAGTGAGGGAATGTTATATCCTTGCCGAAATCTGCAGAAATGCTCCTCAAGAAGAAACTTTGGATGTCACCATTCCAACAAAAACTCATCTCATCTCATCCTTTCTGACAGGCAGTAAAAAATCTAAAAGTCACGTACACTCTGGACATTGACATCAGAATGAGACCTGCTGGTGGTAAGGTGTCTTTTTCAATCCCTATCGAGATGGGTCCCTGTGCTGAGCCCATATATGCTGAGAAGACAGCCTCTCGGAAATTTGTACCTGTTTTCAATCGACCAACAAGATTTCCATGTTTCTCAGCCTCTCAAAAGAAGAGCCCTGCCCTTATGGCGGATCACATTTCTCGAAGCTCTCAGTCCATCAATGTGACGACAAAGTACACCAATACTCCTTTAAGTCAGTGCTTGTTGTGTTGCTTCATGGGATCTGTAGTGGACTAGGCTCCAGCTTACCCAAATGACCAATGTTCTTAAAGAGAAACCACAATTATCTGGACAGTTTCAGGAAGGAAACACCATATTCTGGATAAGTGCTGTTCAAAATGTTGAGAGGATGCAAGGGACAATAAACTGTAACCAAGTTCAATGTTATTATCAAAGGTGAGAAAACTACCATTGGGATTTACAGGGTGTACTGTATCTAGTTGTGGAGGGCTGCAAGGTCCATAGAGTGAGTGAGTGAGTTAGAATTTAACATCACCTCGGCAATATTTCAGCCATATAGTGACGAGCAAGGTCCATAGAAAGAAAATGATCACCCACACAATAATGATGGTGAGTCACTAACAGGTTGGAAGGACAACATGCCTCATGGATTGAAAGTGTCACATTGAAGGTCAGTCGGTGTCAAAGTCTCATACAAGGGCAATGGATGCGTGGTATCAGGGAACACATGTACGTTTCATCGGGAATCTCTGTACTTCAGACATGACAGTTTTACAACTGAAAAGCAATCTGTTTATATTTGGATCAAGTCAGCTCAGCTTTATGTGAGTGATGAAGATGGCAACTGTATGACTGTTAACATGCCCTTGAGGAAGCAAGGTATGGGAACTACAGGACTTACCATTAAACCAATAGAAAGGTTACAGAGGATATTTTCAAACCTACAAACGTTCATGGTTGTGTATGATACAATTATCACCTGAATACTGTGAACATGAAAATATTCGCCAGGACTTTTCAAGGTTATATTAATGACATTGCCACAGAGTAAGTGTAACTGATCAGGCTTGAGAGGGATCAGTAAGGGACCATTCATTTATGGCTAGTGGGGCTGATGATGATTTTCATGGAGAAGCATGTACAATGTGAATGACCCCCACCCTAAAATTTATGTACAAAGTAAGTGACCCTGCCCAGCATGCCATGAGAAGGATGCCTTGACTTCCATAATTAATTTTTAACTATGCTGACAGAGCATACTGGTTTCAAAGTCTTATTATACCATGGAGTAATGATTTACACAAAATTTCATCATTAATTATTACTCCATGATAGAATGAAGGAATTGTACAATATAGGACTTGTGCAGCTACTGGTTTCAAAGTCTTATTGTACCATGGAGTTGGGAATGATTTACACAAAATTTCATCATTAATTATTACTCAATGATAGAATGAAGGAATTGTACAATATAGGACATTTGACAGTGAATGGAGGAATTGTACTATAGAGGACATTGTACAGTGGATGAAGGAATTGTACAATATAGGACATTTGACAGTGAATGGAGGAATTGTACTATAGAGGACATTGTACAGTGGATGAAGGAATTGTATATAGGACATTTGACAGTGAATGGAGGAATTGTACTATAGAGGACATTGTACAGGAAGGAATTGTACAATATAGGACATTTGACAGTGAATGGAGGAATTGTACTATAGAGGACATTGTACAATGGATGAAGGAATTGTACAATATAGGACATTTGACAGTGAATGGAGGAATTGTACTATAGAGGACATTGTACAATGGATGAAGGAATTGTACAACATAGGACATTTGACAGTGAATGGAGGAATTGTACTATAGAGGACATTGTACAGTGAATGAAGGAGTTGTACAATATAAGACATAGTAAAGTGAAAGATGGAATTGTACTATAGAGGACACTGAACAATGAATGAAGGAATTGTACAATATAGGACACTGAACAGTGAATGAAGGAATTGTACAAGGTATTGTACAATATAGGACACTGAACAGTGAATGAAGGAATTGTACAAGGTAGGATATTGTACAAATAGTGAAGGAACTTTGTCATTTATCAAAAACATAACCAATGTGATATATGAATGGTGCTTATCATGGCCAAATAAGAAATACTGAGCATCTTTGGTAGCACAATATATAAATTGGAATATATTTTATTCAGTGACTAAGGGATGCAAATATACTGGTTGGTGATATAGTAATCTTCTTAAAGGTACACTATTCAACTGGTTGTCTCAGTGAGCTAAGGTTAGTACCCCAGCTTTAGTGTGAAACTGTAAGTACATTTTACAGACAAGCCCCATCTTATCATCCTGGGGATCAATACTTGATATGGTAACCGTTAGTGGTGCTCCGATAAATTGAAATAATCAAAGATTGGTCGCAGTGACTAAACGACCAAGCAATCGAACAGAAACAATTTTGGAACGCTTGTTTGTATCAACATTATTTTTCACAAGGGTGGTTTCGTCTGTGTCATTAAATTTACATTTTATAAGCACTACAAGATCATTTCAATTTATGTTCCTAACATACTAGTCATCCTTTAAGTATGTGAAATTTGCAAATGCATTTTATGCAATTTGAAAAAAAAAACCAAAAAACAAACTACATGTTTTTTCTTTATTTTTGTGTGCATTTACAAAGATAACAGGAACATTTGATACATGACGTTAACCAATTATTTTCGATGATTGATCGGTTGTAATGGACCAATCATCAATTATGAGATTTTAACCAATTCCCAACACTAGTAACCATCTGACCTTGCCATTGGAAACCAAACATACCATGTCTTGCATGTTATGTGAACAACATTCTATATTTATGCATCTACTTGATTATCAAATTCGAATTTGACATGTAAGGGTAAGTTTTAACTTAATTTTAACTCCCAGACTACTGGGCATTCCATATCTCCAGTTTGACACATTCAGAATACTTCTACAAAATGTAAGTGTGTGCTGGCATCGGACTGCAGGTTCGACACAATAGGTGGTTTAATACATCAGAGAAACAGTGGAGAGTCTGTATATGTTCAATATTTCTCATTTGGCCTAATAGATCTAGTTGTGCTGCACATAGACAATGTAGTGTTCGTAAAACCAAATGATGTATGTACAGACTTACATATCTATATAATCCATTCTACATCTCACAATTCTGCACCAAATATACAATAGTCCTCAATCCATCCGGATTAGGTTCATCTTTCATAAATTAAATTTAATTTGCAAAAATTTATTTCCATTCATGAACAATTTCTACACATGGGACATAGCAGACACAATAGTGACCTAAAATTGCTCATTGCTGTCTTAAGATGAAAAATATAATCTCTACTTTTTTAGATCAACATTTCATGCTTGAAATATCTCACACCCCTGATGCATGAACACATAAATCTAGCTACAGAAAACATCTACAATGTAAATGTCTTTTACAATTGCAGCTGGATGTCTCCAGATGAACTGTTATACAAATATTTAGGAAAGTTGAGGATCCGTGTTTCTGCAGTTTGTCTGTGATTTTAACAACATGCCTTATGTAAATTAAGTAAAACATTTCTGAGAGGGGTGTAAAATCTCATGCAATTAAGACTATGTCTGACATCATTTACCACATTTACAAAGAAAATGATAAAATTTATGAATTTTCATATCATTTGGTAAGAATGTTTAAATACAAACATTAACCTTGATAAACACATACAACAATGATTCAGGACTGGAATAAATGCCAGTCAATATTAACAGGGAATGTTCCAAGTCTGATGACAGCCATTACCTGATGAAAAGTGTTTCACTACTTGATCAGGTCATTATTCCGAAGTTTCATGTTTCAGAAAAGAATATTGTACATCCGATTAAAATTTCTTTGGGAGAAGTAGGCCATGTTGTGATATATGTCTAGACAGTGTAGCAAGTGTAGCGGTAACGCCATATATTCACAGGGTTCATGCACCACAATATCAAAACATGCTTCACGTACGCTACTATCTTACCACGAAAGAAAATGTTAGCCATGCTTCATACCTCAGCCTTATTGTGATTAAAAATTTTGCACAAAAGACTTCATGCTTTCAGTTGTATGTGTGTCATTATGTCGCAAACATGCTACTTGGGAGGAGACTAGTCAAGCATGTTCACGGCGCTCGCTCGCGCTTCGGGAATGTCATCAATACGCTCACTCTGCTTGTGCTTGTGACATTCAGCTCATGCATGTGGTATGTACGTACAGTAACAAAAGACTGTTCAGGATATACAAACCATTATTATTCTCACATGTATGTAAATCTGTGCATTCAGGTGTGCCTGTCATGCATAAGGACATCTAAACAGTAGGGAGCACGAGGAGTTGTTCAAAGGATAGTTCATATTACAGTCATAGGATTGCACATCCTGACAGACTTGTGCGCGCTAAGATATCAAACTCTGACACAGACAAATGACTATAAAGCTGACATCACACACACTTACACACACACTATAGTAGTGTGAGTGAGTGTATTTTTACGCCCTTTTAGCAATATTCCAGCAATATCACGGCGGGGGGTGACACCAGAAATGGGCTTCACACATTGTACCCATGTGAGGAATCGAACCCAGGGTTTTGGTATGATGAGCGAACACTTTAACCACTAGGCTACCCCACTGCCCCCGGACTATGGTAATATCATGTTAATATCTCACACTGTAACAGAGAATTACGAATATTGTAGTGTTAAGATTCCAAACTCTATACACATTAATGACAAATCACTCACAATACACCAGCATATATCCAATTGTACATGCTTGAAAAGAAATCACACTTGATAGTAGAACATGAGAGTGGTAACATGAACATATTAACAATCATTTAAACTGGTGAGTTGAAGTTGGGTAGATAGAACAGCTATATGGCGGCGGTTTGTAAATAATCGAGTCTGGATCAGACAATCCAGTGATCAACATCATGAGCATCGATCTTCGCAACTGGGATAAGATGACATGTGTCAACCAAGTCAGCAAGCCTGACCACCCGATCCTGTTAGTCGCCTCTTACAACAAGCATGGGTTGCTGAAGATTCATTCTAACCCAGATCTTCACGGGTCCAATGCATATCTGATGACCTCTTACTGATGCAAGGATTGATTACCTACACACTTGTTATGCTATGTCACAATGGTAAGAAAATGTACTGAAATATGTCCTGCGTACATCAGTGTCGCTATGGTGCTCCCTTATAAATCGATGCATATCTGATGACCTCTTACTCATGCAATGATTGATTACCAATGGAAGGAAAGTGCAGTACATGTCTACTCATGGATTATTGCTTTGTGGGAACCAAATTATTGATGCCAAAACGTCTAGCAAATGTAGAACTTGTGCAGTTCTGTCAATTTGTCTTCGGCCAAAATGTTTCAAATATAAAGGCACAATTTACTATTGATATAGGCAAAAAGGATAATAACAGTCACTACCAGTAACATATCTTATATTGACATTGATATGTTGTTGTTGACATCTTGACTCATGTACAACAGAGGCATCCAGTTGGGTTAAACCTTTTAATACAACCTTTCTAGGTCGGCCATTACATTTCAAGTGGGACAAACAAAGCACATGTACAGCCACTCCCACTAAAAATCAAAAGGGAGTTAATATTTTTCTATTTTTTTAATATCGCTTAAAGAATAAATAAAACCTTACTGATGAGCACATAAAATATCTGCTGAATACTCATAACTACAGTTCTAACTCGAACAGTTGCGTAAGCTTAAATTCAACATCATCAACAACTGGAGCACCTTCCTGATTCTTGGCTGACATCCTCTGACACCAAATACAATGTTGCTTCTGCTGCTGAGTGAGTGAGTGAATGCTTTAGTCACTAGGTTAAATCCACAGCTCCTGTTGTATTTTAATACTGGAAAACCTATTCCAAATTTACAGACTACACATCCAAATAAAGAGGCATTAATAACACATATTGTTTCTATGTCACTATGTATGTTTTACAGCTTGTGGTATGATGAAAATACATTGTTAACAACAGCATGGCTCCAATGGTTAGATCCAAATCTCATGTTTACAAAATACAACGAAGAGATCTCAAACACAACTTGGAACAACTGTGATGACAATGCAGTCGGGCGAACAAAACATCCTTAAGAATGTGCCCTTTGCCCCTGTTAAAGCACAGGTTAAAAAAACAGCTATCATTTGCATTCAAATGCCATGGTTGACCAACACCCATAGGAACCTGGGCCCCGTTCCTCAAAGCGATCATAGCGCTAAGTTGATCGTAACCCCCATAGTTTAGCATAGACTTACGACTGTCGTAGCACTACGATCGCTTTGTGAAACAGGGCCCAGGTCATAGGAATTCTGCAAGCTCGATGGACACAGGGATGTTGATGATCACTTCCTTGTCCACCAGGTGAGTGTTGAAAGGCTGCAGCAACATCATAGGGCAACAGGTAGTGTCCAAGACCAGCCACATTCACTGATTCAGGAGCTCCTCAAGTGACGCCACAAAGATAAGACCAATACTTCATCGTCAGCCATCTCAGGAATTGCTTTAGGACTGCATGAGAGGTTGCTAATGCAATGATGGAGTTGTATGATCCCCAGGGAGTTGAGATTGACATCCAGTGATCGAGGGAAAAACAAAGTGCCTTAGACTTTGAGCAGCTGAGCTGGATATTGGCGCTATACGTGCGTGTGTGCGTGTGTGCGTGCGTGCGTATGTATGAGATGGAGGATGATCAGCGACCGGACAGCCCGATGATGCCTTGCTGCACCTCACATCCAATGGCTTGCATGTATTGTTTACTGCACATCGGTCCTGTTGTACATGATTGCTGCATGTTATCAAGTTTGGACCAGACAATCCAGTGACTGACATCATGATCAATCTACACAACTGTGATACAATGCCATATATCAACCAACGAAGTCTGAAAACCCAATCCCATTCGTCACTTGTGACAAACTCAGTCTGCTTGAGGCAAATTCTAACCCAGGGTGTTGTTGCACAAAGTGATCTCAGTGCTAAGGGTTTTGCGTCCTCCATGCCTTTACACAGCTTTATGACAGTACAACAGCACCCTGATACTCACAGGTAGTAGTTCAAAGACACTCTGCAGTAATCCAGCTATCTGAAAACAAGGATTCTGTACCCAACAAACTGGAGACCGATGTTATCAGCAACAATCTACATGGCCAAGGGGTAATAGCCAGCAATCAACTAAGTCAGTGAGCATGACCACCCTTTCATTCAGTCACCTTTCATGACCAGCAGAAGCTCATAGGTACCTATGATAACACCAGAATGTCCACATGGGACCGAACAATGTAGTCCATCCATCCATCCTTGCATCCATCCATCCTTCCATCCATCCATCCACCCACCCACCCTTCCATCAATCCATCCACCCTACCACCCTTCCATCCATCCATCCATCCAACAATCCATCCACCCACCCACCCACCCATACATCCACCCACCCTTCCATCAATCCATCCACCCTACCACCCTTCCATCCATCCATCCAACCAACAATCCATCCACCCACACATCCATCCATCCATCGTTCCATCCATCCACCCACCCACCCTCCCATCCATCCATCCATCCAACCAACAATCCATCCACCCACCCACCCTTCCATCCATCCATCCAACCAACAATCCATCCACCCACCCATACATCCATTCACCCACCCATCCATCCATCCATCCATCCATCCATCCATCAGGGCATAAGAAGTCAAGATTTTGGTTCAAGATTCCAATTTAAACTTCATCCTGAAACCATGAAGAAGTGAGAATGCTAGAGTTATCTCCCTTATTAAACAATTTAATGCATTTCTGAGTTATGCTGAATCAAATCAGAATCAGTCACTCAACAAGTAGTTTTTTTCACCCTTCAGTGCAGATTGAATCATATGGCAGCTGTAATTGGTCGAATTTGAGTATGAATTTTGTGTTTTTTAATATACATCAATCCAGTAATTTATTCAATGTCGTTTTTTAAACACAATGACTAATGCTGAACGTGACCATAGATATTTTCAAGTGGGTGATATTTTGAGAGGAATTGGGGTTTTATTGCTGCTAAAGACAAGATTGTACACACATGAGTATGTAATGGCTGTTGAGAACTTAGTTAATTCTTGGGTAAATATAATATTACTACAGAGGTCAATGGAAAAATGTTTGTTTTTGTGTAACCTCCATCACTAATTTTCA